CCCCCAAAACTGGAACAAAATTCATTTCAGTACAGTGTTGCATGATGGAATAAATATCAGTCAAAGTATTGCAGCGCTAAATACTGAAAAGTGGCCTGGCCAGGAAGGGGGTTTAACACCCTGGTCAGTAAGTGGTTAAAGGCCAATCCCAGACCGAACTCTTTTGTTTTCATACAGTCAGGAAGGATTCAGAACTACTCAGGTTTTTATTGCTGTCTGTGCGTCCAGTTGGGCAATTTATTGTCACTTCCTGTTCTAAAGGCAGCAATAAAAACTTGACAGATGTCCATTGCAGATTATGTCTTCCTCCTTTTTTTTAATCTCTTATACGTCAACACTTCCCCACATACCCCCACCCCCCATTTTGACCAGATAGAAGCCCTCTAGATAGCTTGAAAGACAGAATGCTGATGGGTTGGCTCAGGGCAGTCACTCTACCCACTTTTTATGCTGCTGTTTATGGCTCGCTTCTCTCGCATGCTATCTATTTGCCATCGTGACCCCATACCCATCAGTAATGGAGACATATACACTGCCTGGCCACAAAAATATTTACACACTATTTTGTTGGACCAAGTTTAGCTTTGACCATGTTTAGCTTTGATTACGGCACACATCTGCCATTTCGATAAGCTCATGCAATGTCACAACATTTATTTCAGTCCAGAGTTGCATTCATTTTTCACCAAGATCTTGTAGTGATAATGGGAGAGTCAGACCACTATGTAAAGTCTTCTCCAGCACGTCACAAAGATTCTCAATGGGGATAAGGTCTGGACTCTGTGGTGGCCAATCTATGTGTAAAAATGTCTCATGCTCCCTAAACCACTCTTTCACAATTTGAGCCCGATGAATCCTGGCATTGCCATCTTGAAATATGCCTGTGCCATCAGGGGAAAAAAAAATCCATTGATGGAAAGACCTGGTCATTCAGTATATTCAGTTAGGCAGCTGACCTCATTTTTTGGGCACATAACGTTGCTGAACCTAAACCTGGCCACTGAGGCAACCCCAGATCCATAACACTCATCTAATGGAAAACTCTTATCTATTTGCTTAGCTAAATCCAGGATGTGACATTTTTTTGGCCAGGCAGTGCATGTGGCCTTGTACCAAATATCTTTCTTGCACAGCAACTTAATGTCCATAAAATAAATATGTGAATCTCTGTAATTTTACTAAATCTATTGAAAGTGGAACCATTGGAAGATGTTCTAACCTTTCCCTATTCTATCCAAAACTACACAACATAATTTGACTGGCGTTTCTCTTTACATATGAGATTACTTACATTTGATTCTGGTAGATATTTAGTGGTCTATTCACAAAAGGGTGAAGAGTTTGGAGAAGGTAGGAGAAGTGAACAATCTAGGACAACATAGCTGAACGGGAAAGTGAGATGAATTGGAGAATTTTTCCAAATCAGCTATTTTGGCCTAGATTGTTCCCTTCTCCTGCCTTCTCCAAACTCTTCACCCTTTTGTGAATAGACCCATTAGTAGCATGTCCTTTTGGAGAACCTGAAGTAAGCTCTTATCTACTTTTCACTAAAAACATCTTGAGACCTAAAAAAAAAGGGAATCTAACAAAATTGAACTATTGTTCTTTTGTTTATGTTTTGTGAGCCGTACTTACCACAGTTTTTATACTTCCTAAAACAGACATGGGTTATTACAATATCAAGTTTCCAGGGAATACTTAAAGTGCATTGTAATAGTCTTAAATAACTAATGTACAGAAGTGCACGGGCAATTCATTTAATAGCAGCAGAGACGCTTAGTCTTTTTAAAGAGTCATCTTTTTAGCTATTTCAGTTTTGCTGGAATAACAGCCAAGACCTCAGTGTTGTTTTGCTGGTTTATTGCCTTTATAATTGGGTGTTTACCTGGCCATAGATGTCAGGTGGCAGGTGTAGGTACTGGTACAATCTGTCAAACATTCAAATCTTTCCATGGACTTGAGTCATACAGCTTTTGTAGTGACCTCATGCCACCATCAAACACCTGTACTGGTTGGAAAAAAACTAACGTTACCAACCACTATCACCTGAAAACAGGCCAGTTATCTACTTAAAGGAGAACTATGAGGTTAAGACTTTTCCCCATAGTTCTCCTTAGGGAAACTGGAGGACACAAACTAGCATCCTCCCGTCACCCTAGGCTCAGTATACCGCGAGCTGTAGCTCGCGGTATACTGAGACGTCGCAGCTGAAGCGGATCCCAACAATTGTGCCGGGATCCGCCCAGCTGCATGACTGACAGCTGGCTCTGCCTATCTAAAGGCAGAGCCAGCTGTACCCTCCCCCGTCCGTTCGGCCAGTCAGCGCTGGTGGATCAGAGCGGGGAGGGGGGAATCCAGCCCCTCCCCTGTCACGGCAGAGAGCCGTGACAGGATCGAGAGGTGAGCGAACGCCGGTATGTGTTCGCTCACCTCCCGATCTACTGAGCCGACCTGTGACAGTCTCATTGTCACAGGTCGGCTAGAACTATGAGGTGAGTGAACAGCACTCACCTCATAGTTCTCCTTTTAATATGTTGCTGGCTTGTTGTACATACTGAACATGTTAAAATACCATAGGCAAGAGTAAATAGAGTAGAAAATACATTTCTACTGAGATGCATGCTGGATAGTGTAAACTAGTAGAAGACACGGCGATGGGGAATGCTGTAAAAAGCATGGTCTGCAATGACAAGTGTAGGTGAGCGTACTTAAAAATATAAGGTAATTGTTCATTGATCAGCAAGCATTTATTGTGACTATTGTTAAAGCAGAAACCTCTGACTTCTCGTTCTTGGGGGAGATAGAGATCAGTTTTTTTTATTTAATTTTTCTTAATTTCCTTAGCTAATCAATATTCTTTCCAGCAAGATTTGGTTAGTGTCAGAGGTGTCTGGCTGCTTCTCCTATACAACATATTCAGTAGATCTGATCAGGCGCATTTATTAAAGAACCATGTTTTCTTTCTTTTATCCGAAAAATGTATTTTCCCAAACACTAGACTGTGGTTGAATTGAATACCTATGGCCAGTCTTATGGGGTTTGTGTACTGCCAGAGCTGTTATATTGGGGAAACAATGTTTTACCAGCAGAAAATTCCATATGGGCCATTAGCATTAATGATGCTTTGCATTGGGTTCTGAACTGATTGATAAGTAGCCAGTTGACATCCAGTTCAGCTGTAATTGGAGATATTGGGATGTCGGCATCTAATAAGGTTTTGGAAGCTTTAATGCAAAGATCAAAGAGAGACAGGCTGCTATATTATGCTTTCTAGCTTATATCTGAGTAAGCTAGTTCTAACATTGACACAAACAATGCTTATCTTTAAGATACTGCGTCTTGTCATCAAGGGGCTAACCAGTGTGAGAACTGTTAGGAAAAAAAGCTGAGACGGGTTAACAGCTCCACGTTGTAGTCTGTGTCCCATTTGTGAAGATTTCCATTCACTTCCTGTCCAATAGCCACAACAGGAATTGAGAGGAAATCCCTCCAAAGAAAGCAAAGTCCCTGATAGTCAGCAGGGTTGCCAAAACTAGTGTCCCCATTGGAAGATTTCCCATCTATTCTTGTTCGGATGACAACCCAAAATTTGGGATTCTCCTTCACTGCCAGATGTCACTAATAGTTGTCACCAGGACAAATAGAGGGGGTAAATCTCATCAATGGCTAAACAGGGTAGTAAAACCTGACATGTATTCTGATCCCTCTCCACTGTATCCAAACTAAGTTTTGGCTTCAGTTTTGCTTAACATTTAATGTTTTTGTTCCCAGGCTTTAACTTTCTGGTTCACTTAAGCACACCTTGATAAAATGCCTGTTCAATGGAACCTTTTTGTATTAAATCTTTCTTTTCCTAAGAAGCTCTTTTCTATTTGACATTTATTAAATAAGTATCACAGAATTGTAAATGCCTTACTCGCACACACAGCTGATTTTCTCAGCATCAGTGAACATACACCTTCTCTTTCTGTGCTTCATATCCTAATAGATTGTAAGTTCTTGTGCCCTCTTACTTTGTTCCTGTATTTTGATGACTCTGTTTATCTATTTATTGTTCCTAGTGCTCCTAGTTATAAAATAACATTATAGTTCTGTATAGATGCATTAGAACAGATACATTGTCAGACTCTTACTAGAACTATTAAGCACTGAAAGCATATTTGTAGTGCGTCAAAAGCATTCTGTATAGAGGAACCTACTTTTTATAGCTGTGTTAAACACTGTAAGGGGAATTCATCAAAACTGGAGCAGATTGGTTGCCACTTGCCATACACATCAGCAGCCACCTTTTTATTTTTAAATCTTAACTGAACACACTGAAAAGAGAAGCTGATGGGTTGCCATAGGCAACTGCTCCAGTTTTAATGAATCCCCCACCCCCCCCCACAAATCAGGTTTAAAAGAATAAAATATATGTGAAGGAAAAGGGCAGAAGATGAAAATGTGCTAGCAGTAATAGTTTCTGTCGTGTTATGCATTCAGAGCTCTGTGTTAAGCAGTAGAATAAAGCAGATTTATTGTATATTTTCCATTTAATGTGACCTTTGCTCTGGTTCTCCTCTGCATCATTTGTCAGTATTGATTTCCAATAGGCTGTACGTGTAATGAGGAAGCGGCTTTGACGAAAGCAGGGCAGCACTGTTCAAGTGTATAAGCATAGTTGTTACACAGATACTGGGCAGGATGGCACATTGCTGCTTTTCTTACGCTGCTGTTCATCCTGTTGTGTCACCGCTAATTGTACATTACCTTACACATCTGCATGAAAACACGTGCCAGGATGGGAGGAGAAAGAGCCAAGTCATTAAATATTAATGTTCTGATATTCTAAATTTAGCCGTAGTCTAGTCATGGCTAGCCCGGGATACAATGTGTCCGAAACAATGAGGTGGTGTAATCAAGTCACAGTTTATAGAGCTGTCCTTCTTTTTTTTTTATCGGCACAGCCAGTCTGTTTCTTATTTTTAACCAACTTAAACCCTTTTCCTGTTAATGTTTAGGCAGTGAAAGTGAACCTGGCAGCAAGACAGCAACAGACAGGAAGCCTGGCGTGGCAGTTATGAACTTACCGTCCGATGTCAGCACTGCAAGCTTGATAAACAGAGGAGCTGACGACCAAGCTTTGCACAGTCAGAGCCACACAGAGGAGAAGCATCTGTCCATCTCTGGAGCAACCTTGGAGATTCACACTCAGCCTACGGGGACAGAAGGCAGGGCTAATCCTGACAGCAGCTTCTCTTCTGGGGATGCTGGGAAGAATAACAACCTCCTGCAACCAGAAGCAACAACGAACAGCAGCAATGTGTCAGAAATAGAAACATTCTCCAAGGAGGGAGTAGAAGAACAAGCTGGGAGCCCAATGGTAGACAAATTAATTTCAGCAGCCACAGTTCACTCAGCTTGTGTTTCATCAAAGCAGGATGACATTACTGGAGGGAGCAGTTCTTTAGAGTTCAGTAGTCCTAGCACAGAAGACACTGCCACTGGAGATGGAATAACTGTTGAAAAAAGGGTTATTAATGCGGACAGCGAAACAGGTGAACTAGGACAACCTTCTGAGATTGGTGCTGATCAGATATGCTCAAGAGAGGGTCCGAGCAGGGCTCAGCATCAAGCGGCAGTTGAATTCATTGCAAGTCTCTTAAACGGGGACCTGAAAGACAGTGAGAGTTTCCTGGCTCATTTGGAGTTCCAGGAAGACACGTTTTCTGAAGAAGAAATGTCACCAAGCCCAGGAGAGTCTGTCTTGGGGGAGAGTTTCCTTTCATTGGATGAATTGGCAAAGAAGATAGAGGTAGAAGAGGTAAGTGCTATGTTCATGCTTACAAATCAGATTTCACATTAGATTTATTTTAATTTTGTGTTGTTTTTAGGTAGTTTGTGTTACATTTTTACTGTAGTTTGCAGTATTTTCGCATTAGAGAACACCTATGGATGTGGGTATACTTAGTTTTTTTTCTTAAAGTGTATTTCCACTGTTGCAGCCAAATTGGAATAACATCTATTTTATATTTGTTACATGGTCCCAATCACATAGCGTAACTTTAAACATACACTAAACTCAAGAGTTAAACCTTTAAAATGCAATCAAGTACCTTAACTAATAACAAAAATGTATCTTATGTGTTTATCACTCAGCTGTAGATCCTCAGATCATCTCTGAATTGGTGCTGACACTGTCCTTCCTTCTGGAGGGTGGCTAACTTTTGTTCCACATGGTCCCTGTGTGTTTTATAAAGTAGCCTTCGCTCCAAGCTTGCTCCTGTGATAGACTATAATCTCATGCTTAGTTTACTCATTTGCATTGAAATGAGTCTATCATGGGAGCGAGCTTGGAGCGAAGGCTACTTTAGAACACACACAGGGACCATGGTGAACAAAAGTAGACACCATCCTGAAGGAAGGGCAGTGTCAGCATGAATTCAGAGATGATTTTAGGATCTACAGCCGAGTGATACACAAATAAGATACATTTTTATTATTAGGGTACTAGAAAGCATTTTTTAGATTAACTCCTGAGTTTAGTGTCACTTTAAACTATATTTAAAAATAGTTTCTTGCTATTGTCTTTTTCTAAAAACTACAAAAGTGAACATTTTCCTTTCTCTTTAGTTTCAAGGAAGGGCTGGGGAGTTAATATTTTTTCCACAATTAACCCTGTCTGTAATGTGTTGGTAGAGGTCGCGGCCTCGACCGGGCCCTGGAGTTCCTTCATGGACTCATGCATCTCAGAGCTCACTGCAGGGAAGCGATCGGGAAGTGACCGTATCGGCGGCATTTGTTTCTGCTCACTTCCCGATCGATAGAGCCGACCTGTGTCAGCTTCTTTGTCACAGGTCGGCGCTAACTACGAGGATGAGTGGAAATCACTCACCTCAGTTTTCCTTAAAATATGTTTGTAATGTATATGATGTCAAGTAGTTTGAGGCTAGGTTCAGACCTAGGCGTTGGCAGTTTTTGTGCGATTTTTGCACGCTTTAGCATCTAAAAACACGCATCAACCCCTGCACAGAGATGCAAAACCATGCAGGATCCGCCGCAAAAAAAACTCCTGCATCTTTTTTCACAACGGGCGACACAACACTAAGGTGGGAGCAGTTGCCATTAAAGGAGAACTATGGGGTTAAGGCTTTTCCGCATAGTTCTCCTTAGGGTAACGGGAGGACACAAATTAGCGTCCTCCCGTCACCCTAGGCTCAGTATACCGCGAGCTGCTGCTCGCGGTATACTGAGACGTCGCAGCTGAAGGGGATCCCGACAATTATGTCTGGATCCGCCCAGCTGCGTATGCATGGCAATATGTGTTTTGCACGTTTTCACACGCATGGATCCGTGTGAAACCGCTCAGGTGTGAACTCAACCTCATAGTTTGAGCTGACGTGTGAAACTGTCACAGGTCGGCTCAATAGATCGGGAAGTGAGTGAACACATACCGTCGCTCGCTCACTTCTAGATCATGTCCCTGCAGAGAGCCGTGACTGCCACTCACGGCTCCCTGCAGTGATTCTCCCCCCTCCCCTGTCCGATCCTCCAGAGCTGACTGGCGGAACGGACGGGGTGGGGGCGGGTACAGCTGGCTCTGCCTCTAGATAGGCAGAGCCAGCTGTCAATCACGCAGCTGGGTGGATCTCGACAGTAATGTCGGGATCCGTCCCAGTGGTCTTAATATACCGCGAGCTGTAGCTTTGGGTCAGCTTTGAGCTTTGGGTCATGGGAGAACGCTAGTTTGTGTCCTCCCGTGACCCTCGGGAGAACTATGGGGAAAAACACTTCCCCTATAGTTCTCCTTTAAGGTGTAACAGGATATAAGATTATATAACAGGGAGACATTTGTTATTGTCTTTCAGCTCTCCCTTCAGACTTTTACTAAAGTTCATGATGCCGCTCACCAAGGCAGCCAGATTTACTGAGAACCACATAATCAAGGAGGGTTTCTACTCTTGGGTAGTGGCCCAACAATGTAGGAAGATGCAGCTTCAACTCTATATAGGCACACCGGTAAAGATAAACACAAAAGAAAATATCACAAACGGCATTGAGTATTAGGGGTCAGCAGCAGTTATAAAAATACAGAAATCAAACAAGTCTTATTTATCAAAGCTTCTGAGAAGGATTTCCCTTGTTTCATCGTTTGATTATTATAATCAGTGTATTTTATGGTATATGCTTTTGTAGCATCTTGAACTGGTGGCACAGGTGCCGTATTTCTTGAGAATCTGTTGGGGTTTTTTTATTTATTTATTTGGTACCATGTAAACAATGTAGGAGGACTCCGAGAAGGAAAAGGCACATTCTGTGGGATGTGAAAACTTTCACCTGTTAATGGTCATGTGGATTAGATAGACCCACAAAAAAAAAAAAAAAAATTTGGGGGGGAATGAAGTATAACAGTGTTAAAATCCTTTTCAGGTTTTTATTAGTGTCTGTGTCCTGCTAGAGAGATAACCGTTGTCACCAGGACTACAAGTGATGAGAAATTTTCCTCCAATAGGGCTCTTACTCTGTTGACAACTGTCTCAGTTGTCAACAGAGTAAGAGCCCAATCGGTTCCTGTTCTGTCTACAGGGCGGAATAGAAGGGAAATCTCTGGAATGGGTCACTGATAGCAAAAATAACTTCTTAGGTTTTATCCATTTTCATCCCAAATCAAAAAGGCAGCCTCATTAGTTCCTGCGGTGAGCAATTAGGGATCTATCGGTGGCAACACCGGGCATTTTGACTAGGACTGTACTTGTTAAAATGCCCCGATACCTAAAAGCCGATGCCGGCTCTTTAAATTTTTAAATGACTTTAGCTGCCCTCGCGGGGACCTCGTGGTGGCTGTTTACAGCACTAGTCCGTTCACACATTTCCTGCTACTCCTTCCCGCCACCCGCATCCAGCCATGGAGAGACCCACATCCGCCCGCACAGCACTGAGGAGACCCGTCGCATCCTCTCGCACAACCATGGGGATCCCCCACTGCACCTGCCCCAACAGCCATGGTGAGACCCGCTGCCCGCACACCCCTGCGGAGGCCCGCATGCACACAACCACCTGAGAAGCCGCATAGCCCTGGTGAGTAACACGAAGTATGTAGATTAATATTATTCTGCATTGCTGTATATTGTTTTGCTTGGAATTGTAGTCCTCTGTTGCTGGTGGCATTCTGCATTGCTATATAATGTATTGCTGGGATTTGCAGTTCTCTATAGCTGGTGGTATTCTTCATTGCTATATAATTTTATTGCTGGAATTTGTAGTCCCTCTACTGCTTAGTCAGTGGCAGAACTACCAGGGGCACAGCGTTTGCAGCTGTGACCATGCCCTCGCACTCGACCTAAAATCATTAGTCTGTATTGTTTTGGAAAAATAGTCACTGAAAAAAGGTATCGGTAATTGGTATCAGCGAGTACACAATGAGGATAGTTAGAACGTGGACCAAGGGGCCCCATCCTGCCATTGGGATGTCACTGTCTGGCCTGCGGTCCGGATACAGACTGATCGCCGACCTACACTTGGTTACGACTGGCTTACAGTGCATGAGCACTGCTGGCGTACTAGAAACGAATGACGTCAGGTGCCCACCTCCCCTGCAGTCATTGTTTGCTAGGACCTCTGGTGTCCTAGCAACTAGTGACATTGGGTGTCCTCATCCTTTGCAGTCATTTGTTGCTAGGACCGCCGGGTGGTCCTAGCAACTGATGTTAAATATGTTCCCCAGTGGGTTTGCAGGCTTTGGTACTGATGATTTGTTTTTGGACTGTTTGTGTTTTCATATCTGAATTATTTAGCCCCAAAAATGAACCCTTAGAGTTTAAATACAATTTAATAAATAAAACAACGCTACCAATGAGCTACTCTAATTTGCTCCCTTTTGGTCTTTCGTTATATCTGTTTTTTTACAGAGTTACTTTAATACATAAAGAACTATACCAGGATAAGCATAAGATGTACTCACAGAAACCGTTTTGTATTGAATTATCATTTACCGTCCTTGTTTAGCCTCTGGCCTTTGGAACAATGCCAGCGTACTCACTCAGCATATACATAGCTACTTAATGAGAGTTTGAAGAATCTTTTTGCTAATGGGATATTATACAGAGAAGAAAATCTTATTGAGGAAATGTAATGTCTAAGCTCATCTTTCTCTTAAAGCTGAACTCTGGGGAATACAAAACTTAACACTTGCAGTATGCCTGGAGGTGCTTGTTTTGCCTAGGGGATGATGAATAAGGTGATGTACTTACCTTATCCCTCGCATGTTCTGCAGGCGGTGCTGTTCGAGGCTGTGGAGTTCAGCTTTAAAAGGGATGTATTGGGATTTTTTTTTTAATCAGCTTTTCCCAGCTCCTCCTACGTTATAGAAATATAGGGGTGAGGTGTTCTGTAGTCCTAACACATTTCCTGTCCTAGAGTGACAATGCCACTTTTTTTCCATAGAAGCATTACAGTGAGTGTTGTCACCCTAAGACTAGGTTCACACCTGCACAACATCCGGGACGCGCGCTCCTGTACAATGCAGGCAGCGATTGCCGTGCGCCCCCATTGATTTCAATGGGGTGACATGCGCACGGCAATCACAGAAAAAAGATAAAAGTACCCGTATTTGCCGGCATATAAGACGACTCGGCGTATAAGATGACCCCCTACTTTTTGTGCTAAAAACCCCCGATTTTTGGGGGATGTTTTAAGGTTTCAAAACCCGTCTTATACGCCGGCAAATACGGTACCTTTTTTTGTGATACAGGACGAGCGGCTGTTTTAGTTCAGAAGCACAAGCGGAATCGCGGCGGGAAACTGCGGGACTGGGGTGCCATTAGA